TTATTATTCATAGTATTTCATTCTTTTTGCTCTTTAATCAGTTCAAGATCACCATGATACAGGTTATATGAGCCAGCTTTTAAGTAGTCAGAAAGCACTTACGTCCCCGAATATTCCCCCAATCTCTCTCAACTTCGCCTAACTGTTTAAACAACTGAAAATTCACATTTATAAAAGTCAGTAAGGATCATGAGATGAATTCCAGCTACTGGCTAGCTCTCAGAAGGGGATTCAAGAGTTTCTTGAATCAACAGATTTACTTCAAAGTACATCTATACGCAGTAAGTGGAAAGATAGATCAAATCAGCATTTGTTCATATATAGCTCAATGTTGAAAAGACCCAACATCTCAAGCATTGTATGTGTAGGCTGTTACAACCTCAAAGACCCCATATCAGGGTTTAGAGTGTAATGTTCTCTCCCAGCTGTGTAAATAGCTACCAGAGAGTGAACAAGCTCTTTATTAGGACCAGGTCTCAAACATTTCCTAACTTATGCTGAAGGAAGAACAACTGTGCTTGCTTTTAATATATAGTCTACAGTTGACTTAAGAGTCTTAAAAAAAAAAGTCAATATTACATTGCCAAATAAATTGTAACTGTGGAAAGGAGCCAGATCACATTTATTTATCTTCAGGAACTGATCTGGGACAAAAGAAACCTATAAAGAGATGTAAAGATTACTCGCAAATAATGGAAACTTTCTCCGTCCCTCCCCTGCCCCGACAAAAAAGAGATTTTTTATTTTAAACAGAAAAGAGTACCACTGCAGACCCTGTGTTTCATACTTTCAAGCATACAGTTGTCACAGCTAAAACTACTCTGCCAGATGAAGCAACTTCGCATTACAAAATGCTTGACAGGAGATAGTGATGACAAGAGGATAAAGAGGGCTTCTCATATTGCCCGCGTGTAGTACTATCACACGTAATTAAGTGATGCCAGGGTCACACGAGCTTTTATTTTCCTCTAGGTTAAAAAAAATCTGTGAAGAAACTGTTAGGAGATCTTGTCCCTGGAGAGGAAGAAACCTTTCTTCTAAGAACCATAGGTTTCTGTCCATCAGAAATGGGACTTTTAGAAATCCAAAAAATAGGGTCACCCCATCAGAAAAATCTTTAGGGGATGAAACAAGTGGCATTTCAGGACATTTCAAGTGATATTACGTGACCTGTCACAACAGGAGAAGACTAAACTTTAAGCAAGTTTCCCAAAGGGCCTTCCTGCTTCTTTACTGGGAGTTAGAGTGCCCTTATTCCCCAGTTCCAGCAGGTTTTTTATTTAAACTGCACCAATTTAATAAAAAAAGGAAATTTAAGAATAATGATAATAAAAACAAGCCCATACCACCCATAGTTCACCAAACAAAAAGAAACATGGCTGTCTCTCCCCTTTCAAATGTCAAGAAAATATTAGGAAGAGCCACTAGTTACAGAGGCTATCAATACCTCACATCTAAATTCACAGCAGTTCCCTCTGGACGTTTTTTTCAGAGCGTCTCATTACCTGGGATCACAGCTCATATTTTAAACAGAGTTCAACAACACCAAGAGCTGCACACTCAGTACAGATCACCTAGGATTTCCTTCTCTTGAGCTGGTAACTGATCTGCATCCGGCAGCTTCAGCCCTCGAGATACAGAGAAGGAGCAGAGCAAGCCGTTCCCTTCCCGATTCCAGCTCGGGGAGAGAACGGATGCACAGGTCACACACCATTAAGAACTCTTCTCTCAGGCATTTCATGGACTCAACATCTAGGCCACAAGAGACTTTCTTACCCAAGCACTTCTGCATCTTCATTAGAAGTGACAACATTTGTAGACTAAAAATGAATCTAGACCTATTTAAAAATATAAGAAAATACCAACTATTTCAGAATCATCAATTAAGTGAAATAAAAGTAACTCTGTGAAGAGACCAAAGACTGTTCACACCAGCAGAGAGCAGAAAGCCCAAGACAATATTAAATGCTTCCTACAGTTCTGCTGAAGCTCTGTACATGTGCTATAGCTCTTTAAACGGTTAAATTATTTTAGAATCATTCTCAGAAAACACTGCATAATTTTCAATATAAAACATAAGGCGATACTGGGACAACCAAATGGAGAAAAAGAGTCTGTTCCTTTAAGGCCAACTATCAGAAATGAAGTAAAGAAAACTGCTACAGCAACACTTACTTGTTGTAGAGTTATAACATACTGGCACAGGTTCACTTTAAAACAAGAATCAAGAAGAAACAATTTGGTAGCTGTTATGGGTTATCCCTCATTAAATAAAAGTAAAAAAATTGAAATCAAGGTACAAAGACCACCACTAACACTATCCGAATCTATACAAAGGAACAAAAATCCTGTCTTGATTTCCCAGAATAATGTATACATGAATGTAAATTGAAATGAAAAGGTTTCACTGAGGCTTTCCTTTAAGCTAGAAGTTTACTGCATCACCACACAGAAGGTAAGCACTGCTGCTCATTGTTAAGTATGAGCAGATTAAATGAATGTACTTCCTTTTCATTCATTATTGCTTCCAGTCCATATAACCCACGCTCACCTGAAAGTAGCTGCAGTCAAGTGCAAGAAAAATGAAATATGTGAATTCAGCAATTGTTCTACCAGTGTATTTTACAGGCGAAAAAAATGTCCAAGAGGGCAAAGAAATGAACAGCACTTGCAATAGATGCTTCCCAACCAAATGGCAGGAACGCAGATGAGAGTGCATCATGTCAATATGCTGAGCCAAGACAACCATCTTCCAAAAAGCACTGATTTGCATGGTTAGACTCTGTTTTCAGTAAGCGCACTACGTAATGCAGTTGGGTGGGAGCCAGCCTGCCATTTGTCAAGCTTGAGAGGATGAAAAAACACTTCTGAGATGCCAGGAAGGAAAACCCTAATAGCTAGATGTTTCAGATCCCTTTTTGTTGAGTCTAAGAAATACAATATCCTAATAGCTCCTCTCCCCATTCTCACCAGTATTGTTACTTGCCCTGGGCCCCTTCCTCAAAATGTCCCAAACATGAGCTGACAAAAAAAAAAAAAAAAAAAAAAAAACCACTAGGAGACTGTGGCAGCAGACTTTACCCCTACTTTGCACCAGACTGCAGTATATGTGCTTCCACCTAAACTATTCACTCTCATTTTCACAGTGGTCAACAGCTGAGATGAAGTTACCACTATTACACCATGGATTGTGAACACAGAGATTCATGCTCTCCTGCTGACCTCCAGAAGGTTAAAACATACAGTGACTCACACACATATGAAACAAAACCAGGGAAGGGATGGGAATAGTGAAAACTTACCTGAAAAATTCCGAGACACAAGCATTGTTGTGAGGATTGCGCCCTGTGGGAAGAGAGAGCAGGGATAACAGAGCTCCACTCGCTGCAGAAAGGGGCTGCGCTGAGCCAGAGACACGGGAGGCCTTCACATGCCACAACAGAGGCATCCCAATGCTACCCTGAAAAGCCTTTGGGCACCCAGATCCCCACATGGGGCTGCTGAATCTCACGTGGGACCTCTGAGACACTCTTGCCTTTCTGGAGTGACAGCTAGGGACCAGGAAGGATGGCCTGGCACATGTAAAATGGCACTAGCAGTTATGTTTAGAGACACCGTTTCTTTCTGTCTTTTAAATAGCAAATAACGTCTCCATATGGGAGCCACAGGGTTCTCCCTAGGCAGCAGCAGGTATCATCTGATACCCTGCTTCTGGGAGGCAGGGACCATCAGAATTTAGCACTAGAACTTAAGAATTAATTTCTCTGAGAAACTTACTGTTTTGGAGAAAGAAGCTACAAAGCTTCTTCTTTTTATAAACTACTTTATTACCCTGTGCTGGAAGACCACATAAGGTACTTGACCAATGATAGTAAGCTAATTTTTTTTTATTTTATTTTTTTTAAATCAAAAAACTGTTTCCAGGAAGACACTAAGCTCAAACTCAGATAACTAAAATGCAAACAAGACTCCGAACTATCATACACTCACCTTTAGCTTCCTTCTAGCATTGAACTTTCTCAAGCATTCCACAGTCTCCTGCCTGTGCATCATTGAAGCAACAGTGGATCGTTGCTGAAAGACAAGAACAAGAAAAGGTCAGCAAATTATTTAAAGGAATCAGCAAGCAAAGTTCTCTCTACCTGATACAGCATGAATTGTAAATCAACATACATGACTGAGCCATGTATGGCTGCAATGACTTTTGCATGGCTACAGGATGCTGCAGCCAGTTTATAACTTACAAACTTACCAATATAGGAAAAAAAGTTTTGTCAGGATGGCTATTATAGCTCAGTGCCTGAGACACTGTGACTGAGGGGAGGCATTACAGATAAACTCTAGATTGTATTAGTAACAGCTCCAAAGCTAAACAGCCAGAAAAAAAAAAATACTAGTGAGTGGTGCCCTTTTGGCCATGGCAACTCACTGAATCTAAGGGCTTAACTAGCACAGGGCTCAGCATCTTTGCAACAGTTTTGCAGTAACGGATTTTCAGTATGTAGCAGGGAGGATTCTATGGCTCTAATGTATCAATGCAAAACCCTGAGCATGACCTCTAGCTAGGGATGCACATCTGTCACCCTCGGCAGCCTGGGATCCCATCAGCTGCAAGAAGAGAACTTCCCAGAAGTGTTGGCAGTCATTTCAAGCACATGAGGAAACCAGAAACTGATGCTGCCCGTCATTTACAGCACATGAGAAAATCAGGGACCGATGCCAAAGTAGTTGTTGCTCTGTGTAGAGCTGCAAGCCTGAATTCCCTTTACAAGGACAGTGGGTGAATGACTAACTCGGCAGACTACAGTTTACAAATCCTCTCTTGGTTCTCTCCTGCTTGGAAAAAAATATTTAATAGCCAAGAGAACTGTAAACCACATCCAGATTCAGCTAGTTGCACAGGAAATATCTGCTTCAATCCTGCTTTCAAAGCTGATCACCTGCTGCAGAACGCAGTAGTTAGGTGGGCAGGGAGAGGTGGCTGCAAGGCCTTCCCCAAACCACCTTGATGGTCACTGCTCACGCAGCCTCCTTAGGCGTGAAAGCGACGCCCAGATGTTCCCCTTGTCTTACAAGGTTCAGGACACCCATTTCAGTAGCTTACGGATGCTACGGCAGACAATGTCTCACATAGACACTCAGGACCTGCTACTGCATTTACTTCAGAGGAAAAACCCATTTCCAGAGAGAAAATGTATGTTGCATATATGGAATTCACAGGGAAAATACAAACAGCAGGCTCCAGAATAGGCAGCTTGGGTGAGAGACAGAAACGGCTATGAAACCAACCCAAGCCAAACCCCTTTTTAGGGACGAAAAAACTCTGTTCTTGTTAGGTTGCCATGGGGAGTGAGCTATAACAATACATATGGATTTGGTTTCATGCATTGGGGAAAAAAAATGGAAACTGCTATTGATCACAAGCTTGAGGTGGAGAGAGGGGAGAAAGGAGAAGAAAAAAGAAAAAGGAGAAAGGAGAAGAAAAAAGAAAAAGGAGAAAGGAGAAGAAAAAAGAAAAAGGAGAAAGGAGAAGAAAAAAGAAAAAAAAGAGCCCGAAATCTGAGTTAATGCAAAATTCTGACTTACAAGGAACCGCATCACATGACAGCAGAAGCCACACTACTGTTACACAGATGTTCACAAATACAAATTTAAATTGCTAATTTGCTGTTTTACAGCAGAAGGAAAAACTAACAGTTTCTCAAGAACAAACGAGCTAAGCAGCACACTTTTAAAACAACCTAAAAAAGCAAATGTATGCTACAGTATTGCAAAAGCATCTTGTTAGACTTAGGAGGAGCCATTTCATCTCGCTGAGGGTGGATGGGGGGGGAAGGCGTTACTCTGCGAACCCCGCTGCATTCCAGGATTTCCTCACCAGCTTTGCAAAAGATGCAAAATCCAGGCCAGTGAGAGGCCTGGAAAGACAGAAACTCCATGGAATAGCAAAAAAAAGGTAATTGCTTACAGGTTTACAGCTATTTAGCTGTCACACTATAGAAATGTTCCAAAAATTACAAAGATGCAATACAATAGGCAGTAGAGGAGATGCAGAACAAAATAATCCTAAAATATTTTGTCTGATCCCAAACTCCATCTGACATTGGAAGATGATTTGTATTGGAAGTGGAGATGAGGGGAAAAACAGAAACTACAGACATTCAAGAAATTGTTCTAAGCAGTGATTTTTTTTGTTCCTTACAGTGACAATAAAAGCACCACAAAATTACAAAGTTATCTTGCTGCAGGAACAGCCTCCCAAAATCACAATTTAAGTATTTAAATATTCTGGCCTTAAGAGTAAGCCACAAACCAACCTGCAACAGAGGAACACACTTACGCAGACCCATGGATGTTTGAGAGCCTGGTCAGCTGTGATGCGCTTTGCTGGGTTTATCGTTAGCATTTGATTGATTAAATTCTTTGCTTCAGGAGTCACAGTGTCCCACTCGGGTGACGGGAACTGAAAGAAGAAGAAGAAAGAGATGGTAACTCAAAATATCTTTCCCTGGTAGCAGAAGGGATTTTCCCTCCCACACAGCTCAACTCCCAACTTTTCCCCTTTTGGTACCAGGACCAACATATTTGAACAACAGCAACAAAGTAAAACCCTGAACTGAATGAAAATTCTACAGAAAACAACTAGTGAGCAGAACCAGACAGCAGGACGTGCCTGTAGCATTCAGCAAATACAGGCAGGAAGATTACCAGCTTTAAAAGCCTTTAGGATTCAGTCAGCCCTTTGAATTTCATTCATACTCACCAGTCAAAAAAGTACAGTCACAGATCTTTTTAACTGAGTTGTAACACAAAAAACACAAGCATTCTTTTTTTTAACTCATTTTCCTCTTTCTCCAGCATGTTAAAAAGCTATAACAGCGTATACAATAACACAAACACTCATCTACAGCCAAACTCTGTGAAAGCAACAGCAGCTAGCACCCAGCAGCCCATCAGGCATGTTTTGCCCAGCATAAAGTGTACTGTAACGGAGCAACACCAGACACTTAGGTGCCAGCAAGGCACTAGAAAGCTGTTAGCAAGTTCTACCACACCAGAAATCATTGCTTGCCAAGCAAGAGAGATGCAAGGGTGGATGGGAACACAGAAACACGGAGACAAAGAACAGAACATCAAGTCATTCAGTTGCTGATCATCCATGAGGGGTAACTGTGTTCCCTTCTACAGTTCCAGTAATGATAAAGAAGGGATATTTAAGCCATCCTCCAGCTGTGTGGATGTGCTACAGATGACAGCACGTTGAGACGAATTGCAGCATGTCTCTCCCCTAGGAACCCTACAGACGAACTTGGGAGATAAATCTGCTGTTGGGTTAAAAGTTCTCTGTTTTAAAGGCAGAAGGTAGGGAGGGGCAGGAGGAGGAGGAATAAAGGAAGACTGATCTGCATTGAGAGCATTTCCTACGGGTACCACAATACTTAGAGAAAGTTCATTCCAGCTCTCTTCTGCATGTTGTGCTTTGCTCAGTTGGGTCATGAAAATACACTCATCATACTCAATTTGCATATAATCTTTCTTCTGCATTCCCAGGCATCAGCAAAGCATTATACAATTTGTTCTGCAAACATTGCAAGAGACTATTTAAAAATCATAATATCGAGCTTTCAGTCAGGACAGTATCCACCCTTCTGCTATCTCAAATATATTTCTGGTCACACCTTGCAAAATCCCTCCTGAACAAGAATGTCTGGTTCGTGGTTACCACTTCCTTGTGGGTTGAGAGATAACAGTCCAGCACATACAGAGCCCTGCAGGCTGAGGTAGGGACCCCAGGTGCATGCATGCCAGTAGGGCTCGAGCTGTTCTCTGCCAGGCACAACAAGGGAAGAATCCACTGGAACTTGTTTGTTATGTACAGGAATGCAAAAAACAGGAAGATGAACTACGGGAGGTGTCAGGATTAGGCACTTAACTCTCCATTACTTGCAAAAAGAGTCAGAGATTTAATCCCAAAGTACATTGAAAATCCGCATCTATATAATTAATGCAAAAACACTTAAAAAGAGAACAAGCAACACAGGAAGAACAGAGAAACGAGAGGCAGGAAGGCAAGAGAAGAACAAAAGTCCATTTAAGGCTATCAAAGACATGACTTTGCTCTCACTCAGGAAGCCACCGAGGCCGGACACAGGGCCAGGGGACATTAGTTCCCACCACACACACCACCCCACTGTTCTCGGGCACAGAAGCCGGCTGCAACCTGGGTTGCAGCAGAACCCCAGCTTTCTGTGCTGGGGCTGCCTGCAAAATGACCTCCCCAACTTCCCACAGGTGCTAAACTACAAGTTCAGGAGTTTCTTCTTCCTCCCGAGCCTTCTCACATTATGCCAAGTGTCCACATTTCTGTATCCATCCAGACCAGCTTTTACCTCATCCTTGCTTCCAGTTCTAATCTCCTTGCTGTTCCTCTCCTCCAGATGCTTCTTACACCTCAGTTTGGCCATGCTCTGAGAACTGCCCTAGGACCTGCCTGGCTTCTTACTGGAGCCTCAAACTCACTCCGCTGATCCACACCACCAAACTATCCTGCCAAGGCCCTGGCCACTCAGCCTACTCACAGGGCTACACACTTTCCACAGCTGCAGAAAATTCTGCTGTGGAGCAGAGGACAGTCTGTAAATTAAGCTCTTCTTTTTCCTTAGAATACTTCCTCACTTTCAGCGAGGCCTTGGTAAAGGCAGACTCTTTCATTCTACTCTGCTCTGCCTGAAAGTTAGCATTGGTAACATCACCGGGACTTGGCTATGGTAAATGCAGTAGAAGACACCCAAGATCTTCATTTCAGCTCTACTGCCCTAACGACCAGCAGCATCTTGATGCCCACTACATATCCGTTCAGTAGCCCCAGGCAGTGGCAACAGCAAGGCCTACACACACACGCCAAACATCACCACTTTGCAGCGTAACTTGGGGCCTGCTGCTGGACACCGAGTAAGACAACAGCAAGTCTTGGATGGCCCAGGGGAACGGTGCTTCTCCACCCACGCAGGTAGGCAGCAAGGAAGGGCCCTTACGTCATAGGCTCCGGCTTTGATCTGCTGATAGAGCTTGTGCTGATCTTCATCCCAAAAGGGAGGGTACCCCACTAGTAATATGTACAGAATCACTCCTGGCAGGGAGAGACATAGATACACACTGTGGTTATGCAAACATGCCAATTACTCCTTCAGCCCCTCTTCCTCCCCTCTTCGACTCTCCCCAAGGCAACAATTGCTCAGCACTTCCATTTGCCACCCCGCTTGGTCTCAAGAGGTGTTGGAGGACAGTACCAATGTCTCCTTTGCTGAACCCTGTCCTGGCACTTCACGCTCAGCTCTTATCCCCTGCTGCCAGGGCAAGACTGCGGTGCAGGACTCCTCCCTACCCTCCTCCCTGCTACGGCCATTGTAGCTGCTGAGCCACAAGGACAACCCCAGCCACATCCCTGGGGAGTGCTGGCAGCAAGGAGCAGCTTTTACAAGTTTGTTGGCTGTGCTCTTGGGACAGAGAGCCGCTGACAAGACTAAAACTCCTGGCCTGCGGAGACACATTTAGTCCATGTCAGGCAACACTGATACCACACAGCTTTAAACTTATCAGTCCCAAATACATTTACGCTTTGTTGTTAATTTCCTTTAAAAAAAAATCAGCTCCCTTCAATATTTCATCTTCTACACAGTTCGTGTAATAGAAAATGGCTACAGATCTAAATAACTGACTCTTCACAGTCACAAATAGTTCTATCTCGAGACTCCAACATGCAATAGGTGGACTGAAAAAAGGATTAGGAGCCAAAAATCAAACTAATTCAGGCTCCAGTATTATTTCTGTCTACACAAAGTGCTTATTTTCAGTATACCTTCATCTACCCACAGGTCAAGAAGGAGCACCACATTCCCTCCCAGCAATAGATTTTAAGCAATTGCTCCTATAAACAAAAAGGTGTGGTGCAAGTGCAAAACGTTTTAATGGAATCTTACCACATGCCCATATATCCACTGGTTTTCCATACGGATCTTTTCTTAAGACTTCAGGGGAGAGGTAGCCTGGAGTGCCAGCAAACCCTGCCAGGAAATGGATGACATGAAGTACTTATAGTCCCCAAGCAGAAAAGATATGCTGTGATATTACAAAATCCACTAATGGCATCCAGTAAAGCTCAAAACCCATCCCCGTGCCCCATGCGTATCTGCTAGAGATACAGGTAGCTCCGGTAGGCCAGCAGAAATGGCAAAACATGGAGCAATCTATGCGTCGCTTAACAAGCCAAAATGGAAAAGAAAACTGTCATGCAGCTGAGCACAACCCCCTGCGCCAGAACTCAACCAGTGCTACGTGTACGACCTGAAATTCAAAACTACTGGACCTAGATAGGACACAACCCAGTGCCACGTGGTGGGCAAACCAGAAAGAGCAGCCATCCATCCAGAGTCTCCACAGCACTGCAGAACCTCAGAGCAGATGTTTATAGCCTGAGAAGGTCTCATTTCTAATTCTGTTTTACCTAAAGATAAAGCCAGATCCAAATGTGCCTGAGGAAGGCCAGGTCAAACTTATTTCTGTAAAATGACCAAACAATATTCCAGATCTCAAGACTCCTGAGCAGTAGGAAAATTTGGAACAGTGTCTAAACTTAGTAGCTGCTTTCATCGCTAACACTAGCATCTACTGAACATCGAGAATAAAAATAGAGAAATTAACAGCGAAAATCTCTGCCTGTCCTTATCATATTCTTTCTTCTATCACACCTGGACTTGTGCTTAAGGACCTAGTGGTTGGGATACTCGGAGAGGAAGTATCAATGCCAAATACATGCAAGCATGGTGCAAGAGCTCAGAGTAAATACTCGGCGAGACTGAAATTCAACAAGGCTCCAGGAAGGAGGTGAGCAAAAGCAGGAACACCCAAACACTCTTACCAAACCAGGCCTGCTGTTCTCCCTGCACTTCTATGGCCAGTCCGAAGTCAGCCAGTTTGACAGCAGCACCCTTACATTTACTTGCCAGTAGCAGATTCTCAGGCTGGAGAGAAGAAAGAAGAAAGCGGGTAAGAATGAAAGGCTGATAATCCTCTTTAAAGCCTCCTGCCTCAGTGCTCACATCGTTTAAGTTGACTGAATTTAGCAGGCAGATAGTAAACTGTTTGGACTAAAGGAGAGCAACAGCAACAAACAGCCGTGATCTACCCCAGCAGAAAATTCTCATTTAACACAAGTTCTCCTCTCCCCCTCCTAAAACCATCTCCAAGAGGCAGAGCCTCTTTCCCAGCACTCCGTGTGCTGACACCAGAGGGCACTGGCAGTACAGTTCCTGCAGCAGAGCATCCCAAATTAGTTTCTGCTATCTCTGCAGAAAGCAGGGAGGAGAAGGAGATGCAGCAGATACCCTGCTGCAGACACAGTGATATTCCTCCCCACAAACATTACACTGTCCCCAAGGCACCGGGAAAGTAAATATGATGTTAATAAGGGCTGCCAGAGAGCTGTAATGTGGAAAGGCATCATCTAGATAGGCAGTAGCTTTCATCCCTTGCAGAAAAAGCCTCAGTCTCAAATTAGCATAAACAGCACAGCAATAAGTGGTCTTGTAAGCGCTTTTTCCAGGCTATGAATCCTCGTTTACAGCAGTGTAAAATATGTTGCTTTGTTACTGCCTCTCACCTACACCATGGACAGCCACGTCACTTCTCTCTGAGGCTCCAGAGTCTTTGGACATGGAAGCTACTACAGATCGACAGGAACCTCAACTTATAGACAGGGACAAGCCGGGACAGAGATGTTATCCTACCCCTTTCTGAAAATGTGGGCAATACATGTGTCAGTTGGAGTTTTTAACCTAGCAAAATACAAGTCTGGAAGAAACAGACGCAGGACTTGGTCACAGTTTCAGTTTTGGTGGAGCTCTTGTTTGCAGCCTCCTCACCATTTTCACCCCGCTGAGAAGCTCCCCCACTATTCTGCCTGAGAGGAATAGAGGCTTTCCTCATTCACCTGCCTTTGGGTGGGGGTCTGCTGGGCCTGTGCCTTGATTTTGCTTTGAACGAAGAGCAAACGGCTTTGCCCGTCCCAGTGCTTGCTGCAAGCAGCACGGGCAGAGGCAGATCAGTGCGTTTTACTGCCTCTGGCTCTCCACTACCCTGGAGGTGGAGGAGGCTGCGTTAATTAAGCTACAGAGATGGAAACTCACCAGCATAAACAAGCTCCTACACTAAACCGTCCCAAATCCAAACCACGTCTGGGCTTGGCTTGACTAAGTAACAGTGAAATTTAAGTCTGATTTATGCTAGCTAAGCCCTACTTGCCTCTAAAAGACATCTGCTACCACCTCATGGTGCTTATCTATGTGCATGTTCGCCAACTCCGGGGTTGTCTTAGGTTTTACCTACTCTTGGGTACAGATATGGATACATTCATGCCCCTATGGGCAGCTCGGTGTTTGAAGTTCTTTAATGGCATGTCAGCCAAAAGACTAACTAAGAATGAGGTGCAGAAGGCAAAACTTTGCATGAAGCAAGTTCTGCAGTTATTTAACGCTGATCCTGAAGGCTAAGGTTTTGGCAAAGAGCTAGAACATTAAAGAGCACAGCAATACTTACTGCTAAAAAGAACCTCAGGCCAGGCCAGTTTCAGCCAATCAACACAAGCAATAGAGGAAACACATTAACTGTGAAGGGAGAGTCTAACACCTGATAAGTTTTGAACAAGCTCACTATTTTAACAGAACTTGAGGAGCAAAACAAGTGATGTCTTTTTTGAGTGTACCCTCTTGCACACAGGATGCAAAGAAAATTCATACCCTCCTATTGCAGAAGACACCACTCATTTCCACGAGGACCTCCCTGGCAGGGCCCATGGAGGTTACTCTCCTCAAGAGCAGTGTCAGCTCTCATCCAGATCATCCTGGTCGCTCTACAGCAGACCACCTGCATCTTTTCACAGTGCTCTGAGTCAGAAGGCCAACAAAGTGTTGCAAGAGAATTTGCCAGAAACATTAAGGGCTGACAGATGCTCACTAGATCAAAACACTGAGGAAACATGGCCCCTGAACTTGCAACATGCATTTGCCACGCTCTCTGCAAAATATTTTTATACCTTTCTGTATGTGTTCTATGACAAACCATCACTAGGAGCAGGTGTCACCCTGCATTAATTTAACTGGAACACTGGTGGCCATCACCGTTCCCACTTTAGACAGAGAAGGCTGCAGGGCAGACCTTCCTGCACAAGGCTTTTCATTCTGGAGCCTGCCCAGCTCCCAGTACAAGGAACACTGTGTGGGAAGGGAGTTTCGGTAACTTCACTGAGGAGGTTCTGGGCCTATATACGTGTTAGAACGTGGCAAATGATTGATTCAACCAGTGTTTAACTGGCCAGCACTTTCTCTTTTAGATTAAATGCTTCTACTGATGAGGACGGATATGCATAGCTATTCTAGCCCAATGGCATGTGTTTGGCAATTCAAGTGCAGAATAAAAATATACATGTTCTGTGTAGACAAACTCATCTTGGCAGATTGAACAGAGAGTGCCCCGGGTCTCTAGATATCCCTTCAACAACAGACTAAAAAAAATCCTTCATTCTAATGAATCCTACCCAAATTTCCCTGAAAGCCTATCAGTCCCAAGGATCACCACTATCCTATGCTGAAGCTGCCTCAGAGAGACTGACGGCTGGCAAGGTTCACAAAGTTCAGACTCAAAACTTCCTTGGAGACCAGCATAACCTCTGGAAAAATCCAAAAGAGCAAGTTCAGGAACCTCTGAGCCCAGTTCAAATAAAAAGAAGAAAAAAGAAAATGAAAAAAGGGGCCGTGCCAGCTGGCAACACATTATTCCCCTTGCACTGATCCCCTGTCTTCTCTCCTCAGCCTCTGTGGCCCGGAGGAAACATTACCTTCAAGTCCCTGTGCACGATATCGTGCTGGTGAATGTGATTCACACTCTCCAGTATCTGATGAATACAGTGGCTGCAAGATAAAGGGAGACACACAGGGTTACACGCACGTACACTTGACATCTCATCCTAGAACTGTTTCCCTAACTTTTATATTCAGGAGCCCAGGCCAATGCCCTTTGTCCTGACCACTGGATGCCACTGTCACAGCCAGCCTGCCACCCTCCATCCAGCTGTGACAGGACCTCAAGGCCTTCGTTCTGCCCCCCATCACCACCTTCCTTTCTCCCTTCACACTACTTAACCCATTTGTTTTGACGGCCAATTTCTTCACATCAGAAAACTGAGACACCTGAGCACCTGCAAACTGGCAGAGACTGCTGGTTTACCTGCAAATTCGCAGCAGCTGAGATGGGGCAGACAGGGCCAAACCACCCCAGGAAACATTCAGTTGGGCTAGTCCAGAGCAAAGAACAAACTTTTGGAAAGCAGCAGCCCCAACAAACTCCTGGGTGCCTGCCAGGTTGCAAAGCTTTCAGAGCAGCATCTCAAGCACTTGCATACACAGTGCACACACATCCGCGTGCTGGGCGCCTTTTAAGTACAGATCCCACTTAAGGGGCTAGTGATCTGAAAGGCAGACTCATTCCCCACTGAGTGGCTGTGCTACATTCCCCCAACTCATAGAAAACTGACACCTCTGCTACTCTCCTTGCAGCAACCACATGGGGAAAAGACATATTATCAACACCTGTCATATAAGGACAGCACAACGTCCCCATGGGTAAGATTTCTGGTAGAAATCATCTGCTAAAACCTTCCTCAGCTCCCAAGCTAAAGCTGATAAAGCCTAAGTACATATGTGCATTAGTGATATCCTAACAAAACACAACTCGTAACACGGAAGGGAGCAGGGATTTTGACAGCTTGCACAGCTGGGCAGTAAGCAAGCAGATGTGGGCAATGCAGTCCGTGTCCTGCGACAATTCCCACTGCAGGAGCAGTGGGTCTCCCTGCTGAATGTCCTGAGCCTCGAGGGGAAAACATTGTGAAACAAGTGAAATGTGTCAGGGAAAGTAAATCTGCTACTGGAAAAGATGGGATGAGGGTGAGGGGAGGAAGACAGGAGCATGTGCAGCACAGTGTAACTGTCACCCCCTACTTCCCAAGCTTGCAGTATAATCCTCAGGGTAGCAATCCATGAATATCTCCCCGCTCCCAAAACAAAAAATGTATAATTAGAACGGAGCTGAGTCTGAGCGAGAGACATTTTCTGGCCAAAAATGGCAAAAGTGTGAGGTGTCCCAGGCGAGCCAAGCGCGGCGGATTGGCACGGACCTCGCTCCCTCGCTCTCCCAGCCTGCTCTGGAATTCAGCTCGGCACAGGGAGAGAAAGGGAGGAGTTTCACTCAGTCGTCTTGTGGGCACTGCAAGGCCTGGCCAGCTGGAAGCGAGAGGGCTGAGCGCCCTTAGGAAAGCAACTACTCTTGTTCCCCTAACTAACCTATCCCAAGTTCACTGGATCAGGGTCTCTCACTGCCAGCTCCTGAGCATCCCGGAGAACAGACACAGGCCAGAGAAGCAGACGAAAGGAAAACCCCAAAGTGCCCAGCTTCAGGGCAAAACGCGTTCAGTGACTGTGCATGTGCAAGAGATCCTGTGCCAACAGCATCCATACAGCATGACCCTGCTGCAACACCCCCAGATCTCTGTGCTGGGAGCTCCCTTGCAGACAGTGGCCCCGCGGCCTGCCCTCCTGCAGACGCCACGCAGCACCGCTCGGCCGGAGCGTCGCTCCCTCCCGCTCTGCGCTCACAGCTCTCCCCGCTCCTGCTCCCACGGGGACGAGCATGGCACAGGCAGGCAGGTGCAGAACAAGCAGAGGTAAAATGTCCCCGTGAGGCCGTTCCCAGGCCCTGCCAAAGCCAAGCAGAAGCTGCCTAACCCCAAGCTTGATTCCAAATGCTCCATGTCCAAAGGATGAGTTGGAGAGGCCAGAGCGCACCTCGGGCTACCGCTGCACTAGATGCCCACCCATCTAAACAGCACAGCCCATTACAGGGAACTCACAGCCAGTGAGAGAGGACCACTCCAGAAAGGAAGGGCAGAACTTTATATCTACTTAATAGTAAAATACAAAGGTCACTCCCAGACACGGCGCCCCTTCTCACTGCACCAGTGAGCTTACAGGCACAAAGGGCTCGCAGAAACATGGCCTCCCCCCAGGAAACTCTGACCTGGGCACAGGTAAAGTAACGGGGCCTGCCCAAAAGCCAGAGCACATCCCTGCAGCCCCAGCACGAGGGTCAGAGGCCCAGTGTGCAGCTCTGCCCGTGCTTGCAGAGGGCACCCTGTCATCACCCACCGGGAAGGCCAGGCACACAAAGCCACCAGCAACAGAGGTCCCAGGAAAGAGCCCGCTGCCACAGAGGCCTCCGCGAGGGGCAGCTGCTGGAGCTGTGGGAGTCAGGGCTGACCAGGGACAAGAGTTCAGGCTAACGGCAGAGAGAAGAATGGTTTGTTTCCAGGCAGGGAGCAAGACTTCCAGCACAAAGCCATGCACAGGAACAGCAAGCAGGAAATTCATTCCACTGTGTTGGCACGCACAGGGCACACACACAGACGGGTCTGGAAACAGTCTTACCTGGCATCTGCTTCACTATAGTATTCTCTGGCAACAATATCTTCAAAGAGCTCCCCACCAGTAACCCTGAAATTTGGAATAACAAGGGAGGTTACAGAGCCTCTCCGCACGTAGCTGGGTACAGCACATATGGTGCCTCCCTGATCAGCCCCTTGCTCCCCAGGATCCCTCAGCAGCCTGCACTGAACAGCTTGTGCAGAGTTACTGTAGTACAGAGGACACGAGGAACATGCCACAGCTGTGGCCCAAGCAGTGCTACATCCACAAGAGCCCCTGGACTGCCATAACACCAGCAGGATTGTGGGCACCGCTGAAGTACTGGGCACAAACAGTCCGTGTTCCTCTCACAGCTTAGCATATGATAAGCTTGGGCAGAAGACCCATCCTCTGATCCCTGCAGACTCCCTCCCTAGGCCCTCACCATCTTACATCTCCTGCCATGAGCCTTCCTGGTCCATCCCCTACCACATCATAAAAGGATTTTTATCAAGCGGACTAGAATCACGTAGTGGGCTCAACAGTGAAAGAGAGAATTAAAATAACACAGGTGCTTTTTATTCCATTCTTAGTCAACAATCCACATGTCTGCATCACTGATGAAGCTTCAAAGCCAAAACAGAGACACTTACAGATCAAAGACGAGGTAATGGAAACCTTCTTCTGAAATACTGTCATGGAGCCGCACTGCAAAAAAAAAACACAATCAAGAAATGGGGATTTAGGTAGCATGTAGCAAATACGTCGCCTCATGGATCAGACCTACCCACAAAACCAAGTTCTCCCTACCACAATCAGTCTCTTAATTCCCCATGCCCTTTGCTTTTTGCACTCACTTAGTGACCTGTAACTCTTTTCCTTCCGTTATCTCAAAGGAATAGATAGATGTCCTTCACACACACCCAAACCCTATCCCATGTCAAAACAAACCCTAAATACCTTGGACCATTCTCCTACTTTAGTAGTTCTCTCTCCCCATACACTTAGATTGCACAAGATAAACTCTTCTCAGAATCTCAAAAAAAAAAGTCCACCTACATGTCAGTAACCATCTAACCAACTCCAACTCAACAAATTCAGTTCCTTCCCTTCAACTTTAACTCACTCCACTACGACTTCCACCCCAAAATCCTCAAGAAAAAAATCATGTCAGCTTCCTGCCTCATTTTTCCAGATCCATTTGTTAGTACCATCACATCTGATAACCTTCCCCTTCACCAAAGTCTCATCCTTCTTCAGTTTCCATACCTATACTCCAGTAGTTATGCTCTCGCTCTTCAGCTTTTCCCCTTTCTTGCTTCCTTTAACCACCAAAGTTGGATGCTGTCCCTTAGTATTCTTTTGTTTTCCTTCTGTCATGTTACCAATGGGCAACATATCATCTTTATGAAGCCAACACACAGGGACACATTTCTCCTTTAGTGCTCTAAGTCAAAAAAAAAAAAAAAAAAAAAAAAAAGTCCAACCCTGAGAGAGAAACTAAGCTTTTCATTTCATCTCACATCCTCCTCTCTTTACCTCTCTTCTCCTCATGGGAAAGGTTCTCTATATTGCCTGCCAAAGTCACAACCTAGCAATGCTGTTGGACTCAATTCCTAAGCTTTGATACTAGAACAGGGATGGGTCATCTTCTTTACATGAGTCTCTAGATAAGTCTCTCTAAAGTGCTTCTCCTCTTGATTCATCCAACTAAAGCAACTAACCCAGGCTGGATCCCAGTCATTGAAACCCTTTGTTATCTAGTGTTGAACAAAGTAACATTATAGTTCTTATCCCCAGAAGACAAAGATTGTTATTCTCCTCCATCCTTTTAATGATGCTTCTGCATCTCCTCACTGTGTTTGGTTCTATTCTGAATAAAATACAGGCGACCTGTCTTGACTTTCCCCGTAATAATGAGCATCTCTTTATCGGAACCAAGAGGTCAGTGTCCCCCTCCTACTGGCTCAGGACGTCGGCTGCCTCCACCGTCTCGGGGATGTTGCAGAGCAGCACCCGGCACACGCTCCCACCCCATATGGGCGGCTTTGGTAAACGTTCCGGGCGCTCTCCTCTAACCCTCCTCCGAGCTCTCCTTTGCTAGGCCACTGTTTCCCATGCATGCTATCATATCCACACACCCCAGCATAGCACGGAGGCAGCACCGAGACTCCTACTTAACCTAAAAGCATTTCACTGTTTCCCCATTCCCTTGCCTGTCTGTACTTCCCTGCTTTCTTCCTGCCTTAACTTACAAGATCTTGAGCTGTTCCCTGAGCACCTTCCTTTACTAAATGTGCTTTGATTGCACCTAACTGAGGGGGCCTGGGAGGGCTATCGCGCACATGACAAGGCTGCAGGGAAGCAATTACCACTGGTGGAAGAGGAGAGCAGGCGTTTCAGGTGAAACATGCTGTTGCTAAAGCATGTGAACAGAGACCTATCACCTTTAAGAATTAAGTTCCTAGAATCACTCTGCAAAAATATCTCCTCCAAGAGCTTTAGTTGGTTTTGTAGCAGTCTCTGTATACTACCACTTTGTGTTTATACAAAAAATGTACTTCAAACTTGCCTCCTGAGTACTTGGCAGGATCCAAGAGAGGTAGCATTACAAAAATGCAACAGAGAAGGATGGTGTACCCTAGCAGAAAAGACTTTCATTCAAGACCAGAAACAAGAGGGAGAATGGTAGAAACGGATCCTTGGGTTCCCAGCACAGGGCAGGTTTTCCCTCGTAAAACTGGACAGGTACATGCAAGAAATGGACACACAAACAGCTCCTAAACACTGATGAGTAGGTCACCCTCCAACCACCAGAAGAAGGGATGAGGCCTTGCAGGCAGGATGCAGGTGGTTAACTTTTAATGGGAGCCATTTCCTTGCGACGACCAGAGAGATGCAGATCAAAATCTGTCTAGGATTCCACATGCTCAACAAAGCTCAGGGAGTAGAAGAGTAAAACCAACAAAAGCTAAAAACGACAAAAAGCAAAGATGAAAGCAGGCATGACTACTCTACAGAGGAATAACTAGCAGCAGCTCAAAATATTAGATTTAAAGGTTAGAGGGGAGTGGGGCTGAGTAGAATCAAAAATGATCAGGAGGTCTGAATACACCAAAACTTTTGTGACTTTCACTTCTAGCCCACATCTGTTTCATATGATACTGGTGGGAAGAAATAAAAGTAATGTCCTTGGGTAAAGCAGAGGGGCGCTAAGTGGTATTTCACCCATAAATAACTATTGCCTACCTACTTTATCACATTGCCACAAGAGCCAGCCCACGTGACTACAGAGGATCTAGAAAGGGTACTGCAATTAGGGGACTATGAAGCTAACTGTCTCTTCCAAAAGCCCTCAGCCACCCCACAGCACATACTCAGAAGCAGCTCAGCAATACCACCCTTAGACTGTGTTGAGGGTAAAACCATTTAAAGAGTTTCTTAGCCTCCTCTCCACTTGGGTTCATCAAGGAAATCCACAGTATCATTCACACAGTAACATTCACCACAGAGATATATCAAAATACCATCTGACACGTCCACCTTCCAGAGAGTATATAAATAAAGTCTTTTTTTTTTTTTTTTTAAGTCCATGCTTTAAACATGTCCTGTGAGATTGCCCTGCACATGAGTAGCAGAAGGCAGCTTCTTGAACGCCCAGTTCCAGGAGTGGCTAACAGGAACCCAGAGGAGTGAGTGGTTCTGTTTCATACATTTTTTCCAGGAAAAGGAGATCCAATCTGTTCTACAGGCTGTTGGTGCTGACAGCCCCTCTAATTATTACCACTGCCCACTCACATGCACATAAGCTGTGGACACTATATGGGAAAG